GAGAAGGGCGGCATATAAGTTGTGATAAATAAATAAATAAATAAATTGTGCTTTTAAAAGCATTTATCTTTTGTGGACTATTGTGAATCACAGAATTCAGTCTATAGATAAATAAGCAGCCAGGCTTTTTTGAAAAATGGTGTAGTTTTAAATAGTGAAACTTTTTTTTTTTACATATACAAAAATTGCTTTGCCATAAATTGAACTGTCAAATTGGCAGAGGAGTTTCTTGGTCTAAATAAAGAGCTACTTCTCCACTGCACTGTGCCAGCTATAGCAAGCCTAAGCTTGCAGATGAAATGACCAGGACATTGACTTATTGTACCAAGTCATTTCTCAGTAGCCATATACATTTTTCACCTTGCTATCTCTTAGTAATGCAGGGTTTTTTTTCTGCCTGTATGCACAGTGCTGGGTGTTTCTTACCGAAGCTTAGATTCTCTCTTTATTGCTTGTGTTCACCCAGCATGGCGCATCTTGGTTGCTATTTCTCTTTGAATTTATATTCTACCATGCATGTGCTCTGCCCAAACACTCTAGTCTAGAACTTGACATAATTAGGAACAATGTGTGATCTAAGATTATACAGGCTGATAATCTTGAGTTGCCATTAGCATTAATTTTGTTTCATCTTTATTTATTATGCTAATATAGACAGGTAACAATATCATGAAAGATTCTAATGCAAGGTAGAGACAAAGGGATTTCTAATTAGGACTCACTCTGACATCTGTATCTTGGGAATCGCCTCTCCTTGGCTGAGTGGACTCACTTGTCAATAGAGATCCACTTGTCAATAGAGATCCACAGCTGTGCAGTGATTACTTGCAGTCATCATTGACAATACTATGAATCATTTCATAGTAGACATATCTGATTTTGCCAACTCTTAGTCACAAGGAGTGGAGTACAGGTACTCCTCAACTTGCAACAGTTGGTTTAGTGACCATTCAAAATTACAACAGCATTGAAAAAATTGATTTATGACCATTTTTCACACTTATGACCATTACCACATTCCCATAGTCATATGATCAAAATTCAGACGCTTGGCAACAGATTCATATTTATGATAGTCACAGTGTCCCCGGGATCATGTGATCCCCTTTTGCGACCTTCTGACAAGCAAAGTCAATGGGGAAGCCAGATTCACTTAACAACTGTGTCACTAACTTAACAAGTGCAGTGATTCTCTTAACAACCGTGGCAAGCAAGGTCATAAAATGGGGCTAAATTTATTTAATAACAGTCTTGCTTAGCAATGGAAATTTTAGGCTCAATTTGTGATCATAAATCGAGAATTACCTGTACAGAAAACTTTCTACTCCTTACGGCTCCTGTGAGTGTTATAGGTGCTGGGGGCAAACACCCATAAAAGGAAAGATGTTTCCCTTGTACTTTAATACAGATAGTCCTCAACGTACTACCATTCATTGAAAAAAGTGCTTTATG